GCCGTGCATTCAATCAAAAGCATTCAATTATGCATGAATATTTCCATCTGGCGGCGACAATGGGGAACACTAATGATCCCGTCGTCGTTGCGAGGAAGGGGGGACTTACTATGTGGGAATATAAACTTGCTTCAGCTTGCTCTCGGCCTCGGCCGCCTTCAGCCTCTTCTGCAATCGCGCACACAAACGTACATCGGATGGTGAGTAAACGCGCTAACAATGATAAAGCGACAGCGCATGCGGTCACAATTAATGTTTTGGGATATCAGAGGTTGATGTATGTTTTTCATTACAGCAGAACAAAGGGAAAAAAATAAAACAAATTTGGCTCATTTGCAAGTTAAGCCCACCGCGAAGCTTGACGGTATGTGCTAACTTAAGCGAAACCCTATTTCAGGTTAAACAGTTGGCAAACCAGAACCATAGTTCGTAACATACAAAGGACAGTATTAATAAGTTGAACCCAAACCAAACTCCATTAGGGAACTGACGTAAAACCATATCTGACTTAAATACAATCCTTTTAGGGAACCTAAGAGGAACCATATTTGGTAACATGCGCAGAACCGTACAAGGCAATCTAAGCAGATACAGTAAGCTAAACAGTCCCACATTTGGTAACCTAACAGGAACCATATTTGGGAGATCCAAAAGGAACCATTTTTGGTAGCCTCTGCGGAATCATACGTGGTCACCTAAGCGGAAATAGTTGTCGAAACAAGCCCATTTTTGGGCATAGTAAGAGGAACCCTATTGGGTCAACAAAAAGCCTCTTTGGTAAGCGAAGGTGAAAGACTCACCTAAGCAAAATCAGAGCTGGAAATCGAAGTGGAAGCATATTTGGTAACCTGTTATGTATGTTCATTAAAAAATAATAAATTAAAAAAAACACGTGATCACGTCTCACCTGTTGTACGTATCTGTCTGTGGTCTTCCACATGTAGTAGTACTCTATGATGCTGGTCAGAGATTTCCAGGGAAGCTTGAGATGAGACAAAAGGAAGAAGTGGGGGAGAGAGCGGGAGACGAGACAGGGAGCAAATTAACAATATTAATTTCTCATCTTCTTGCCATCTGGGCGTCCCTTCATGTATATTCATTCAGCAGCGTCGTGACCACGGAGGACTGAGAGGGCTTTTGGACCAGCAAAGCAGGGGGACAAAAAAAAAACAAAAAAACAAACCATGTCGGACACGTATTCATGAACACCTGGTGCCGACACACCACAGTGTAAACACGAAAAATGGTGTCGATGGTGTACAGGCACGACAACTGAATCAAGCAGCCACCGTGCTGAAGGCTTCAATGTTTGATGAAAAACTGCCTGCGCGCATCCTCCTCGCTCCCTGAGCCAGAGCTTTACAGTAATGAGTCGCCACAGCAGAAGATTTGCGGCTCAGCGCGCAGAGCCACTTACGAAGTCTTGTCGGATGTCGTTGAAGTCCTTGCCGTATTTCTCCAGCGCCTCCTCGAACATGGCCGCTTCCGAGGCGCTCCACTCCTCCATCTCGTCCCGGCAGAGCACGGGGCCACCCGCGGGCACCAGCACGCTCAACGCGCTCGACAGGTCGTAGTTGTGCGCGTGCAGCGTGTCCATGGCGTGGAACTGCGTGAAAAGTAACAGCAACCTTTTAGAAACGGTGAGTCCGCGTCGATGCCTTCGGTCTATCTTTGGTAACCAAAGTGTAATCATATTTGTTATGTCGCGCAACCACATTTGGTTACTAAAGTGAGACCATTTGGTAAACTACCTAACCGCTAACCTAAACCTGAAGCAGAAGCATATTTTGTAACTCTCGTGTAACCACGTTCACTAACCCAAGTGGAGGACATAACCGAAATGGGAGCATAGCACGCAGCCCCGGTGGGGGTGGGGGTGGGGGGTCCTGCGGGACTCACCAGCGTGATGTCACGTGACGCCGCCGCCGCGCTCATATGTAAGCTCGGCTGTCGGACCGAACTGCTGCAGTCGAGCGCCCGGGCAAAGGTGCCAACCGCCCTGCGAGCAGCACAGACAAAAGCATTTGATATTACGGTACAAACGCATAGAAATGCAATTTTCGTTTGGAAATACGGTAGCGCCGAGGTCACGTCTTACCGCGCCACCACAAGAAACTGGTCGATCTGTTTGTTGGTGAGCGGACACTCCGGATCCCAGAGCTTCTCCTCCAGTTTGGCCTGGTCTCTGTCGTCAGCTTGACCCGCTGAACGAACACACAGAACACATTTTCTTATTTCAAACCACGACTGAATATCGTTTGCCGCTTTTCCTTTCAAGACTAGCCAAACATTTGCCCGGAAGTGGAATAAAACAAGCACTGCGCTGACCCTCCGGGAGCATTTCTGGCACGTCGGCCTGGAATCGTGGCCCCACTCGGATCTCGCCTTTGTCAGCCAGCAGGGTCTTCTGCGTGGGGTCGTACACGAGCGAGTAGAAGAAGGTATCCTGGTGGGAGGTGGACAACCCGTAAAGACACGCATTTAGCACTCCACCAACATCCCGATCGGAACAAGAAGGTTCGACTACATAATTCCAAAGTCGACACACCTCCTTGTCGAGGTACGAAAGAACCGCTTCAGTTTCATTCAACAAGGCCACGCTGCACTTGCCCCTAAAGGGAGACACACGAGGTGGGAGCATCAGAAACAAGTGACCCTCGATGGTTCAAGTCCACTACGTTAGCAGCCGGGAGTGCGTTGAGGCTTCGTGACTAGCCGCACACGCGCGTACCTGATGTGCGTGGCCGGTAAGCTCTCGTACTGCCGCGAGAGGAAGAGTTCTCTGTGTCGAAGCTGGTGCTTCTGTTTGTCTGTGAGCTCCGTCTCGGCGGGGCTCTCCTTCTCCTCCTCAAGCTCTTCTGCGCCGGAACAAACACAAGAGCGTGAATGGAGACGCACAACAAAAGGCTTTCGAGGAAACAAGATGGGACTCATTTTCCAAATAACAGCTTTGCAATTTTCTCCGAGGAAAATCTGCTGTTGCCGGGGCGACTCTCAATCATCTACTCGAGTTGCCGATGATCTTGGTGGACCCTGTCGCTAGAAAAGCTCTCGTCAAAACAATACATTTCGCGCTGACTGTAGAAGCAGGTGTTTTCCCATCTTCTGAAGAAATAGTGTCTCAAAAGCAGGCATTTTGCCACCATTTTTCGCGTCACTCTTCTGTATAAATGGCACCCAGACTGAATGGTGGGCGATGAAGCTAACCTGGCAATTTTCCCCCTTCGGTGGTCGCGTCTGAAATTCATTTTAAACGGACAGAAAAATGTGGCAATATTCCTCTTATGTTCCCATGTTGCAGAAACCAGCCGTGATACTAAATGGGAGACAAAGTCGACCAGGCGGTTTCCCCGTCTTTGGTGCTGGTATCCAAAGTCTGTTTTAAACTCACTGGCATTTTTTTTTTGCCTGCTTTTCCTTGTCCCTTTCCAGCATAAACGTATAAAGTGGACTAGAATTATTTCTCTGCCAATCGTGGAAGTATCAAAAGCTCCTTTTATCCTGCCTCTAGAGCTATGTCATTTTTTTTTTATGCCAAGAATTTTTTTCTTCCACCCATCGGGCAGGAAGATGCCCATAAAGTCAACCGACAAGTTTCCGCCTTTGGTCATAGAATCAAAAGTCCCATTTACACTGCCTGTAAAGCCAGCATTATTCGGCCATTTTTCATGTTGTTAGTTTAGATAAAAGGCACCGACACGCAAGGGCCGACCAGCCATTATGAAAATGACTGTAAAAGCTGACATTTCTCAACTTGTATAAAAATGCCGCAGACAGGAAATGGAGAAACCCAAAGTCATCTTTTGAGGTATGGTCCAAACAACAACTGATGCGGGGTGTCACTTTTGTGTAAGGAAATGCCACAATGCCCGGACAGGGCTGTGAAGTTTAACACTTCTCCCATCCTGTTGTGTTTTGTCCAAAACGTAATTTCTATATCAAGCCAGATGTTGGAGTCTTCGAACTATGCGATGTCACGTCGCTGAGTGGACGTTGAAGGCAGTGGCGTTAATAACCCATTGGTGGTTACTGGCTAAAAGCTAAAGGCACCATGTTGCAGTATTTCACAGTCTCCTTCTTTCATCAGAGACCTTTATGGAATAATGACGCTTTGCCCAGTTGTCAAAAACCCTGGAGCGAAGTGAGTGGCTTCACTGGGAGAAGCAGCAGGGTGGCATCTGGTGGTTTTAAAAATCCATTAGCAACGTAGCCCGCGACGGCACAAAATGGGGAAAAAAGCCCTTTTGTGTGCGTCGCGTCACTCCCTCTTTCTGTGTGTATTAAATGTTGCTTTCGCTGACTTGCTTTATGGACTGTCAATTCATGTAATTTAAAAAAAAAAAAGAGATACTTATGTTTTGAATGGGTGAGAGCCGCCATTGTGAGATGGTTAATGGATGTCATGTAGTTGCTCCCTTTTATATGAATCATTCGAGATGGGAGAGAGTCATGTTTAGTCACAACCTTGCTCATGTGCAGCTGTCGCCAAAACAGAAACACGGGAGGAGACACGATGCTTTTTAAAAGCAGCAACAAAATGACAGCGCTTCCAAAAGACTCATTTTTGGGTTACTGTAGTTTTGTGCAGAAATGTCATTTTTCTCTTCCTTGCGGGGCATCTTAACAACTGAAAATGTGTTGAATGTGCAGCATTGAGAGGTTGTATTTGCCAAAATCAACGCAAAACACGTTCACAATTCAAGTTACATTTTCACAACTGAGGCTTTGTACTGAGCAGAACTGCACTGCATCATACCGAGAACCGATTCGAATTCCAAGTTGGCACTCGAAAGCCAGCAATTTGTTTCATCACCAGATTGCGCATCTAATTTAGTGGCTAATCACGTCGTCAAAAAGTTAAGCGCTAATTTGAGAGAGGGAGGCGGGAGGCGTATCACTGTGGTTCCACTTACTTGCATGTTTGTCTGCCAGCTGAATGAGGCTGTGCGAGATGTCCCGCCTCCTGTAGAAGCACACCACCTTGGCCTCCACGTTCCCGCTGGCCGTCTGAAGAGGAGACACACGAGGGACAGGGTGAAGAGAGGGGGGCGATGGGGGGAGAAGTGAGGAACTACCCCCTCCCTTAACCCCTCAATGCAGCCATCATATGACAAGCTTCTTAATTTCCCCGGAGAACCGCTCGCCTTTGTGTCCACGTCAGAGTGGCGATGACAAGCGGACCGGGAGCGCTAACGGTGGCCATTTCACTACGACTGACTGACTGATTGATTGATTGTCTGGCTGTGATGAGGCCAACGGCATGAAAGAAACGTGCTCTATTCACGAAACAAAATGGTTGACGGCTTATGAAAGTTTCTGTAAACTGTCGCTGCGTAACTGACGTGTGCCATATAACTTTTTGGGCGCCTATCAGTTTGCACAGACGCCCGAATTGCAAGGTAATATCTACATCGGTGTCAACACTGGGCAAAAGTAAACAATAATACATTAATCATTGAAATATGAAATGTTACATAGCCTTGAGTTGGCCTGTGCTGATCCCCGCAACGCAACCTTACATTGATGTCGATGAGGGCAGTTATTTTTCTGACTGAGTGATGGACACATTCTTAATTGAAAATTATGCTGTCTTCAAAGGGAGGGGAAAAAAAAGTTGGTAAAAATAAAAACATTTAATCAAAATTGCAGGACGTAATGAACGGCAAGCACCGGCATACAGTATCAACAATTACTATTGTGTTATCAGTGCATCCGCAAGGTTGTTGTCATGCAAAAAAAAAAAAAAAAAGCCCACTGAAAAACTGACAGCATCAGAAACCAAATTCGTGGTTAAAAGGCTAGACTGTTCGAGTCGTTCCACTTTCAACGAAAATTACATCACGCTCATCATCACATCCATTAAGATCAATCAAAGTCTGTTTTTTTTTCCCCAGCCTCAACAACACTCAGTATTTGATGCACGGACGGCCACAGCGCTGCCCGGTCATTACATCACCACCTCGGTCTTTGACAGTTCCGTTCTGGACGCTCGTAATGCTGCATCAGACCCGTTTAGCTTACAAAATGCAAATGCAGGGTGTCGATGAGAAGGAATCCTAAACATTCCCCCTCGGGCATAGATGGACACAAATGGAAAAAAAAAGGGTGTGAAACACCTAAATACCTTGTTGAGCTCCTCTAATCAAAATTTACTATTGTGTTATCAGTGCATCCGCAAGGTTGTTGTCATGCAAAAAAAAAAAAAAAAAGCCCACTGAAAAACTGACAGCATCAGAAACCAAATTCGTGGTTAAAAGGCTAGACTGTTCGAGTCGTTCCACTTTCAACGAAAATTACATCACGCTCATCATCACATCCATTAAGATCAATCAAAGTCTGTTTTTTTTTCCCCAGCCTCAACAACACTCAGTATTTGATGCACGGACGCCACAGCGCTGCCCGGTCATTACATCACCACCTCGGTCTTTGACAGTTCCATTCTGGACGCTCGTAATGCTGCATCAGACCCGTTTAGCTTGCAAAATGCAAATGCAGGGTGTCGATGAGAAGGAATCCGAAACATTCCCCCTCGGGCATAGATGGACACAAATGGAAAAAAAATGGGTGTGAAACACCTAAATACCTTGTTGAGCTCCTCTATTCGTCGGATCAGGTAAGGGTTACTGGAGGAGTTCTCGAAAAAGACGTAATCTGCAATGGGAGGACAACCCAAAAACTGCATGAGATATGGAGGACAATGTGTATGTGTGTAAACCATTCTGCAATCCACCTGTGGTTTGGCCCTAATCCATACAAAAGACACAGACTCATAATGTCACCCGCAAAAGTTGACATCAAAGGGTTTCATGAGTCCTAGTGCTATTCATTTTTTGTAATACCTCTCACTCTCATTACTAGTGCACCAATGGTCAGGTTTATTTGCAAACGAGTGGGCCAAAAGGGGCACTCGTGGTAGAAAAATATTCCTAGTTAGATCCTCACACAAATATTCACAGGACGTAGTAGATGTCAGCCTACTTGTGTCCCCTATTCATTCTCGTGTGTTGAATTGTCATATGTGTGAAGACACGAGATTCTATTACTATGGACCTGAGATAGGATATCAACATTATGGTTTACTAGTAAGGTTTCGTTGCAAATTAGTTGGGGAAAAGCAGCACAACTAGGTGGTGGAAAACATGACCTTGATAGCCATCTTAAGGTACACGTACAAACACTTTGTCCGCGTTAGGAGGACAGCTTAGGTATATTAATAAAATGCAACTGCAGTGTTTGCCAACTGCGTGTGAGGACCTCAACAAATTCAACAAAATGCTACATTTGTTACACTGCTGTAGTATTGAGCAGATGTCAACTAGTGCACTCTAACTAGTGTCTCACTTAATTCACCCCAAATCTTAATTTGAACACAAAATGTAAAACTCATTTAACCTGATGTCTCTGGTTCAAGGGTGATGTGACCAAGTAGTCTTCCCCTGTCACTTGTAATTTGTAGTTGTCCTTCAAGTATGCAGAAATGTCATACTTAAATAGTGAGACATTCTTTCTAGTAGTGTGCTTGACTGTCTTCCGAGTGAGGGCAATTAGAGCACTAGTTTGTTGGCGATGGAATAACTGCTGAAATGGCAACGTTTGTGCGTGAGGAAAGGTGTTCATCAAGGCCTTGACGCCATGAAGCGAGACAATCGCTTGATGATGAATTCCGGTGGGCATGCTAACGATTAGCCGAGGAGGCTACGGCAATTTGGCCGAATTGATCGTACCGGCGGTGGGAAGTCGGGCGCGGGTGAGGGTGGCCACACGGCCAGGCGGTGGAGCGGACCACGACGCCGGTGTACCACGTTGCTAACTCTGGAACGGTGCCCCTCCAAAACGGAGCGGCGTCCTTTGAGGCGCTAACGTTAGCTAAATAAGGACGGCACTAAATGGCTGCGTGCCAATGGAGGCAAATACAAAGGCAGCCTCTCACACACGTACTGCTCACTGCTCCGAAATCACATTAAGCGCCTATTTAAGGGGTTATGGAGTAAACGCAATCGCGTTGACACGTTTCAAATAACCAAACGACCAACATACAGTGTGCCCCCCCCCTAAAAAAATGTTTACATTTTATGCTAAGCTAGCTTGCGGCTAGCGGTGGCCAACGCGAGGCCTGACCCATTTTGGAGCCCAAATATTTAGAATTCTCTTCCAGCCCGCATCACGTCTAGTCCGGGGTGGGCAAAAGCTCACAATCAGCCGTCGGACGCCAGCGTAGCCGGTTATCGGCGCTCGGGGGGGCTTCGGTCGACCCCCAAAAACCCAAATAAAAATTAAGAAATAAAGCACGGACAATAACACACGTCTACACTTTTGATACAAGAAACGATCCACATTGACGTACATACCTCCGACCCGGTACATGTTGGCCGCCATTTCTGCCCTCACGGAGTGTGAGCGTGAAACATTCACTAAGAAAACATAAGAATAAATTAATAAAAACTATATATTTGAAAAAAGAGAGTCCGGATGTGTGCACCCGATCGGGGGGGAGATTAGTTTGCGTGTGTGTTTTTTTGTTTTGTTTTGTTTTGTCAATGGACCCCCCCACCTGGTGTTCACACAGTAGCCCTCACAATACAGTCCCAACCCGAAAAAAAAATACGCTGATGACGTCGAGTCGGCGCGCACGCGCACTCACACACGTACGCGCACAAGCATAGCACATAACAGTAGAAATTGGAATTATTTGAAATGAAACCCAGAAGTGGGTAGTTTTTTCATAAAGTACTGTACCTGAAAGCGATGTTGATAAGTTGTTCTCAAAACTTTTTCACCCCCCTAAAAAAATAAAAATAAAAAATAAAAATGCTCTACATTAAAACACAGCGTAGTGGGCCTAAGTCTTAATTTAAAAAAAAAAAGTTTTTTTTTTTTAATTTCTAAAAAGTGTGTTTCATTGTATAAGCTACTGTAACATTGTGCATAGTTAGAAAATTACCACTGTAAAAGAAAAATAAACTACTCAAAATAATGACATGATAAAATGTAGCATAAAAGTTACATACATACTGAAACTAGTTTCAAAACAAACCGTTTTGTGAAGTGTGAAACCATATCAATGTTTCATCATCAAGCTATTCTTCTGAATCAGAAGTCATCAGAAGAATAGCTTGTTGAACTGTTGTTCATCCACCTAGCCATCCATTCTTTAATCCGCTTATCCTCACTAACCAGAAAATGCTTGCAATATCTGAACTTTATTGTTACATATGGCAGTTTGAAATTTTGGTACAGATTTCAGCAAGCATCACAGAAGCTGACATTACTTTTTACTCTTGCGGGACTCATAAAATAATGTGCCAAGCCAGAACTTTATCATAGAAAAGAACTTTGGTAGAAGTAAAAGTGTCCTTGCAGACTTTTGGCATATATTTGGTGGCCGTAAGTATCAAATGAAATGTTCTTATATTAAAGGTACTAAAATGTTGGAAGTAAAAGTATCAATTTAATGTGCCACTTATGGGATAAGTGGTACATAAAATGGATGGATCGATAAAATCCAATTGGGATGGCTATTCTCGTGTTTGTGCTCTCCACAGTTCAGGCATTTTGTCGATTAACAATTTATTGTGATTTTAATTTCCAGTAATGAGTCACAAAGAAGGTTGGGGCAAATGGAGAAAAGTAAAGTATCCTTTTTATTCATGAAATTTAAAGGAGGAAATGTTGCCAGAAATATAAATAACAATATAAAGTGAAATTGTACTTCAGTACAGTAATTGAAGTAAAAAATATTTATTTCCTATACTTGAGTAGGTACTTCAGTACAGTAATTGAAGTAATGAAGTAAAAAATATTTATTTCCTATACTTGAGTAGGTGTTTAAGATGTACTTTATTTGAGCAATTATTTTTATAATGGCTTTTGCCACTGCATTTGTGGAGGTGGCTCAAGTACTCATACTGCACTGAAAAAGAAAGAACTAAGACGGTAAAGCACAAGTGCTGATTTAACTCTGGTACCGAAATGTAGGTTAAAAAAAAGTACTCGGGTCTTTTGAGTACAAAACTCAAATGACATGTCCTCCATGGCACACAGCTTTTAAGGCACTGACTCTGTCAAGGAGATGTCACATAGAATTGGGCTGAGAACTCCTATGAAGAAACTGTCTCTCTATGAAACTTTGAAAAGAAGAGGTTCAGGACGAAGTGGACACTTTTGCACAACAAACACGTGCTGGAACTCCTGAACATCAAGTACAAGCCAAACCAAAGCTCCAGAAACAAGAAACAGAGGTGAAATCTCAAATCTTCAATTTGGTCTCTTGGCAAATTAATTTTTTGTGTGTTGATAAAAAAAGAGAGTTTTATGCTTTGTTGTAAGTTGTCCTAATGTTGAAACTGGAAGTTTGGTCAACACCGCAAGTGAAGAAAGTGATTTATTCCAATAAACTTTAATGTCAAAGAGAATGTCAGATTTGAACGTTCAAGGAGTGCAATCATCACAGACAAGGAGACCCAAATGTATGTGCACATCTGTATAATACAGCCTCTGGGCACACAACAGGAGCAGCAGAATGTCCATTGGAGTGATGCAAAAAAAAAAAAACAACACATTACAAAGCTGAGCTGTAATGGATTCGTGGCATTTTGCTCGGTTATTGTTATGAGCGCAGTCAGAGACATAATTAAGATCGTATGTCAAGGCAACACAACGCACACATCCGCTATGATCTGTGCGAGACTTTTTCAGTGAAGGGATTGGCTGTCTCCGGCCCTGGGTGGAAAGAGATGGGGAGAGAGAGAGAGAGAGAGAGAGAGAGAGAGAGAGAGAGAGAGAGAGAGAGAGAGAGCTCTCTCTGGGTCAGGATGTGCCCTTTTGATTTCTGGGGCTGCGGGAGAGGAGGGCAGAACAGCAGGGAGCCACGACGCCGATCGACCGACCGACTTGACTTCAACTGCACTCGGATCCCAACCACGCCCCGCGAGGGCAGGACAGGGCAGCATCCACACGGGGAGGTGTAGCCCGGCCGGCAGGTGTCCCAGCTTCCGCAATGGAAGCAGCAAAGAGCCGCTGAAGGAGAGGAGGGAGCCATGAAGTTCGGGAAGAGCATCTGCGTGCTGAACGTCGGGGGCACCCGCTACGCCTTCACCCGCGACGTGATCCGGGATTTCCCCCTGAGGCGCGTCAGCCGCCTCCACGCGTGCGCCACCGAGAAGGAGGTGCTGGAGCTGTGCGACGACTACGACCGCGAGCGCAACGAGTTTTTCTTCGACCGCCACGCGCAGGCTTTCGTCTTCATCATGCTCTACGTGCGCTCCGGGAAACTGCGCTTCGTCCCCGGCGTGTGCGAGCTGTCCTTCTACACCGAGATGCTCTACTGGGGGCTGGAGAGCGCGCACTTGGACTCCTGCTGCCAGAAGCGCCTGGACGAGCGGCTGTCCGATGTCGGGCTGTCCGACGGCGGGCTCTCTCAGCAGGAGGACGCAAAGGAGGGGGCGACCCAGAGCCCGGTGGGAGAACCGGTGGCGGTGATGGAGCTCACCCGGCGCGCCAAGTGGCTGGAGAGGGCGCGCAGGGCGTTCGAGGAGCCCAACTCGTCCCTCGGGGCGCAGCTGCTGGCCATCGTATCCGTCGTCTTTGTCATCGTGTCCATGGTAATGCTGTGCGCCAGTACACTGCCTGATTGGGACACTGCCAAGAGGAACACCGTGGAGGAGCACAGGTAATTTGGGAGCTCACCATTTGCGTCAGTTGATGACAAAACATTCAGACCAGTATTTCCCAACCTTCATTGAGCCAAGGCATATGAGAAACCTATTGTGGCATAACAATAATAACACAAATGTAAAAAAAAAAAAATAGTCTCAATTTAGTCACAGATTTACTGAAGTGAACAAAATATATATCAGATGCAATGCCGCACGATTGGCTGACAACCAGTTGAGGGTGTCCCCTGCCGAAATCTACTCATTCTTGTGAGGCTTTGCCACCCTGCAACAAGGAGGCGCTCTAGAGCAACCTCAGCAGCCCGAAGCCCCGCTCCACATGCTGCCCAGCTCTCGTTTCCATCTTTCTCTCTGTGAGGTGCACGCATTCATGACTGACAACGAGCCACTCTCAAGCACCCATATCAGCAGACTATCCGAAGGGAAGATTGAAAGCTAACTGCATGTCGCAATAGCGCTGAACAACCGCTGATGTGAATGAGGTTAAGTTCTTATATAGTGGGGAGTATATTCTATTTAGAAACAAACCTCTGAATTCACTTTACAGGGTCTTTTGTTTTAGTATATGCCGGAATTCGGAGTCCCCTTGAAGTCTATGCTTGAGCCTTCATGAGATAAGACATCGCCGTTGTACTTTGCACTTGCTGGTGGATGGATTTTTCGGGTGACTCTGTAATGCAGTTTGGCCTAATTGTGTTTGCCTGTGTGCTTGCACTGGGCTTAATTCACTTATAATTGCCTTTCTAATCAATGGAGTAGTTTCGCACCGGGGGCCGTCACCCTTCTCCCCCCTTGGCATACCCACCTTGACTCCTGCTATGCTCAAATGCCGGCAATTTTCACGTCCTTCATCTCAGCGGGATGTCGGTGGACGTAATTAGCCGGCAGAGTGATTCTGTCAATGCCGTCGAGGATAATGTGTCTCTCGTTTCCTGTTTACAGGATCGTGGAGGCCGTCTGCATCGGCTGGTTCACGGCCGAGTGCATCCTGCGCTTCCTTGTGGCGCGGGACAAGTGGGACTTCCTCCGCCGGCCGCTCAACATCATCGACGTGGTGGCCATTACGCCTTATTATGTCACCATGGCGATGGCCCGGGCAGGGATGCCCGGCGCCGGGCTCGGGGTGGCGGGCGTGTTCCTGCGTGTGCTGCGCATGATGCGAGTGTTCTGGCTCATGAAGCTGGCCCGCCACTTCCTGGGCCTGCAGACGCTGGGGCTGACGCTGCGCCGCTGCTACCGGGAGATGGTGATGCTGATGGTGTTTGTCTGCGTCGCCATGGCGATTTACAGTGCCCTGGCACAGCTACTGGAACACGGCTTGGATTTGGGCGTACGCAACCAGGACTACGCGAGCATCCCCGCCGCCGCCTGGTGGGTCATCATCTCCATGACGACAGTGGGGTACGGGGACGTTTACCCCATCACCATCGGGGGACGGGTCCTCGGGGGGATGTGCGTGGTGAGCGGCATTGTCCTCCTGGCGCTGCCCATCACGTTCATCTACCACAGTTTTGTGCAGTGCTACCACGAACTCAGACTACGCTCGGCCAGGTATGCTCGTAGCCTTTCGGTGGAAATACTACAGTGAACATTTTCCGGATGCCATGCACAATAGAAATCAACCGAATGAAAGTTCACGGCATGCCCAGTTCCTCACGGGTAGATGCGCGTTTACAAATTACGCGTCCTGTAATTAATCACTGTAAAGAACACAACTTGTAGTTTGGGGCCTAAAACAGTCAATGAAGTTGGAGGAATATTAAATTTATGGCAAACATGTTAGTTAGTGGAACAAAGCAAGCAAGCTCTTTTTACTTTTATCCGTAAATTGGGGTTTAAAAAAAGGGAGAACCATTCTGCAGGAAAAACCCATCTTCCTAACAGGAAAGCTTAAAATATTTTGTTGACTTTCACAACTTTAAATGTCATCAAAGTTTGTTTCCTTCAAATTTTGAGTTCACCCAGCATTTTTTTTTTACAGTGATGGCATCGCTCCTCGCTCTACTTGTGGACCGTGAGCACCCTTTGCACAATAGAAATAAAAAGAAAGACTAGAAGTAATCCACAAACCATGGCATGATTGGTCATGTTATGTGTAGATTTCACATTTTTCTTTTGAGATGCCTAAAGGTATAAAACAACAAAAACAAGACAGAGAAAGAGCTTTTGATGGCAATCTGATAACTTATCTAGACTCAACAACAAAAAAACGCGCCGCTCAAGTTTCTGGTGCCTAAACTCGTCCGACTTCTAGCGTTTTGGAATTTCTAACCCTTCATTCTTGACGTGACAAGCTGAGATTCACCTCCTAATATTTATCTTTGACTCAAAAGCTGTACTGATCTCAAATCCAAAGCAATGCGACGTCACCTTCCACGGGCAGCTGGTATCCATCGTGGTTTATCAACCTAAATTTCACATGCAGGTTGGGCGGGACCTGCCACCATGCCTACGCGCTGAAAAACGTGCTTGACACACATATTATGGCAATAGTCACAATAACCCCCCCTCTTGCACGATAAATATCAACCCAGTGCCTACAGTTTCTGAAGAAGGGAAAATCTAGGTAAAGTCTTGTTTTCCAATGGCCTCTTAGAGCGCGAGCGCGCCCCCTTGAAGCCTACAAATCATTATTTATTAAAGACCAGACAAATCCGTTAGTCCCTGCGGATGGTTGTTTACACTGCATTGCCATGGTTACAACATGTACGGCGTGCTGCGTGTGTGTGTGTGTGTGTGTGTGTGTGTGTGTGCGCGCGCGCGCACGCGCTGTGGCCTTCAGCCATTCAGTTTGTCAGGGGCTGTGTATAAGGCTGACCTAGATGCATCTAGCATGTATAGAGGCGAGGATGAAGGGCGGACACACACACACACACACACACACACACACACAACCCCCACACACACACACACACACACAGACACACACACACACACACACACACACACTCACACACACACACACACACACACAGGATATAATGAAATATGGAGACGAAAATTGCCAAATGTAAAGAATAAAAAGGGACGAAGCAGATGAAAAACATGTGATGTGAAGCTAATAACAAAAACAATAGATATAGTGTGTGTGTGTGTGTGTGTGTGTGTGTGTGTGTGTGTGTGTGTGTGTGTGTGTGTGAGGAGGTGTTTTTTTTGGTACAGTATTTTCATCTCCGCGGCACCCTCATTTCAGGCACGCCAATCACTGAGGCCATTGATTAGTGTGTTTTCGTACAAATAGGGCACATACACACACCGTCGTTGCAACACAAGAGGGAGGGGGAAATGACATCACATGCACGCCGACGAAGGTTATGACGTTCCATGAATCACGCCGGCTGCTTAATGAAGAGCCTCATCTGCTTCCAAACAAAACAATCCAGCACCTCACACCCACACCGCAGTCTCCCGCCACCCCGTTGCCATCAATCAAAGATCAGGCTGGAGTTCATCTCTTTGGATTTAAGTGTCAATTTTTCATCTCTACCCACATCGATAGTCTTTTCGTCTCTCTGGTGTGCTGTTCAAGTAGCATAAATGTGACTAAATTGTTTAATCAGTACTGTATTATGGTTTTGACGGAGCAGTTAATAGTCTCGCGACAAACACTTTTTTCATTTGTGATGTATTTAGTGGTTTGGGAAAAATAAAAGCAATTGTTGATCATTTTCTGTGTAGTCTACTTCTTACAAATTACACCTTCAAGAGCTGAAATTGAAAGTAAGCAAATCAATGCAGCTGTCATTTTACACAAAACTTTCTGGACTTAACATTCTTATGAACACTATAGAGCCTACATTGTTATATTTCTTCAATGAAATTCTGTCAATATATTCCAATCAGTCTGTTCTTTTCGTTTTGTAGCAATGGAGCGCTCCAGGGTTCTGCACACTGATTAGTCGGTCAGGGCAAAACTTGCAACAGCCAACTTCAATTAGGAAAACAATGTTTTTGCACATATTAATACAACAAATTATTGTCATATCCAGTGAGCATTTTGTATTTTAATATGTTTGTCATAGATGGATAGATTTTCTTTTGCCAGCGACTCTCGGCCCTCCAATGAGAAAGGCGGGTTGGCGTCATCTGACCTTGACGTCACTTTCCCTCGACGCCCGAAGCAGGAAACTCTTTCCGCCGGTTCGTTCTGTTGTGACCAGCGTGTCCGTACGTCATTCTCCCACGAACAAAAATGTACTACAAATTCAGCGGTATAACACAGAAGCTTGCGGGGTCTTCTTCGTCGACGGCCTACGCCCCCCAGGTGAGTTCTAAAGTCGGCGCATGACTCAAAAGAAGGATGGTCACGGTTGGCGGTGACCTTCATGACGCCGTGCTCGCACGCGTCCTTGTCTGCGTAAAATGCAACTTTGTCGTCAATCGACGCTGTGTAATCTCTTAAAACTATGTATTTTTAAATTTCCATACAAGATGAAGTAGCATAATCAGCTTCATGTTTCACCCCTTGATGATGTATTGCTGACTCCTCCCCTTCTTTCGATTTTTAAAATGGGGTGCTGGGTTTATTGTATCATAATTAATCTCCAAAATATTGTAAGCATTGTAAATTAACCTCTCCTCAGCAATTCTGTCGTGACAACCACCCCGTATTCAACCTTTCTCGTCCATCTTTTGTTTGTAAAGGTTATCTCTCACCAACTGGCTGTTGTGTAAATTCAAATTCAATACCTACCAGATGTGTCCTTGTCATATCTGACCTTTTGATAAAGCCCCCTCGCCTGGTTGTCTTGCCCATTATTACATGTTAGTGGTGCTCAATTTAGCGGTACCATTTTCCGCGTTACTTGTGAATGTGCAAGTTTGGTCGGTCAAACTTTTTGAGAGTTCTGGGAACCTTTTGGGGGTGGTGTCTACTGTAATGAACATATCAAGTATTTCTGACTGTGGGCTAAATTATATTTTGCACATTCTATTTGAATGTGTTTTTTGTTGTCGTATAACACAACAAACTGTCTAGTTACCCAGGAGTAAAAGGTTAATAGGATTTGAGGTGGGAAACAAAGGATCCTGTTTCTGCAGGTTAGCTTGAGGTCTGCATGTCGTGATGAATGTGAAGTTGTTGCATCTTAGCACCTTCATTGTGGCGCCCTCGCACGCGCTGTAATTAACACCTTTGCAAGCAGGTCATGTGATGACTTCGTTCTTTCAGGCACGTAAATGCTGGGGCTTGGCTAGAAACACTCTTGTACCATGTTGCCTAAATTCCATCGTAATGAGATGGATGCTCATATGTTTTTCTAGTTTATTGCTATAAACAGAAAATTGATGTAGTGCTGGTCGTCCAATTTATTTCATTTTATTTTTTGGTAAGTAAATGTCCACCTCACCAACCAAAATACCCACGCGCAATCTAATTATCTCAATGCGTGTAGCCGCAGTGGCTGTGTCAAGGTGCACTTAAGTGAGCTTGGTCTAAAAGTGTTTTCATCGATATAAAGGTGCATTGTCCACATTGTGACTTACTGGTTGTCCATTCATTGTGCAGGGTTTGAGGCCAGTCGTACCAGCCGAATCATCAACCATGATCTTTGCCACACCCACCAAAGTGGTGTCAGAAGCAGGACCCGTGGTGGAGTACTTGGGGGCCAACAAGGTGCCCGACTTTCAGAGGATATTCCAGGTAATCGTGTTTTCGAAAAGCAACACATTTCAGTACAGTTTCCCCTTCGATTTGGTCGTGACGAATCAATCACAAGCGCACCACCGGGGGGGAACGGAGCAATCAATAACACAAGAGTAATTAGAGTATTGATGTTTCACTCTAATTGCAGCAACTTTCTTCACTCAAGCCAAGAAACTTTTTGTTCTGTTTTTCCTTGTATGTTTTAGACGTCGGACAATATCCCCGTTCACCTGAAGCGCGGCGTCCCTGACCGGCTGTTGTACCGCACCACCATGGCCCTGACTGTAGGGGGCGCTCTCTACTGCCTGGTGGCGCTCTACATCGCCGCTCAGCCCAGAAACAAGTGACCACCATCACCCAATCTGGTCCCCACTTGACACTTTTTCGCCATGTTTTCCACCCAGCGGCCCGGTTCGGTACGGTTTAGCATAACACGATGACCCGCTCGTCACTCAAAGACTGCCAAAAATGGAATCGTTCCAAAGTGGTGAACTGCACCGTTTGGTGGAAACAGGGCGTGTGACATGTTGCTGCTCAGCAGGTCAACCCAACAACGAGCCTCCTTTTTCCCGTCGATGATAACTCTTGCAAATTTATGTCGCACAAACAAAACAATGTCCCATTTTCTTTAGTACAAAAGAAGATATTTAATTCAATAAATGTGATCGCAGATAACCAAGCGTATTGGGGGTGTATCTTTTATTCTCTCTTATTGTCTCTCTCATATTGCAAAGTTAAAAGCAAGCATTCGGCCATGATGTGTTTGTATTGATCTTCCGACGGGGTCACGTGACGCAGCTTTAAAACAACAGGTGGTCTCCGCTGAATCAACTTAGCAGTTCAGTCCTCTGTAAATACCGCCCCCTCGGCTCACGTGTAGCAAATAAATGTCGCTTCTTATTTACTTTGTCATTTGCGCTACTGGTGAATAGGTTTGATTCAACGTCAGCAATAGAGTTAATATGGACAAAAGCAAGGCAGGCACGATACAGGACAAGGACAAAGGTCAAGTTAGATCAATGCATGTTTCGTGTCCCCGCAGATGTAAAACAAACGTCTGCCTGCAAACACTTACTGGCAATTACATTGAGGTACACATGATCAAGACAACAAGAGCTGAATTGCAAGCAATTAAATGAAGAAATTATAACCCATGGAGCAAAGTTTCCAAGCATTATTGAGTCAAGGCACATATTTTGCATTAGGCACATTTTACATATAGAAAACTAATCTCACGACACGCCACCATACAAAAATGTCACAAAAAGTGGACACACAGGTCGATTTTATCCCCTCTGCCATCCAGTGGAAGATAAATTAATTGTTCCCCCTGTCACAATAAATCACTGGCATGTGGATTGGAAACCACTGTAATGACTTTGAGATACCTGTAGATGGCGATGTTGCATTGGATTTGTGATCACAGTTTTTATGTAAAAGATAAATAATTGGCAGCAAACCTGTCGCGTCGAGTATGATGAAGAAAAATGCCAACATGGACGTCCAAAAAGTTTAGGCACCTCACGCTTGAGCACAGTATGTATATGTGTGGTGGAAATCGAGTGAGAAAAGATGATGCCGATCACGAGGTGAATGGTGAACACCATGTCTCACCCATCCTCCATTTCACAAAGATGTCATCTCACACTCCCTCCCTTCCCCTCCCCTCATACTCCGTCTGTCTCATCTCACCCCCACTTCCCTTGTTTGCTTCCAGCGTGCACTCCCCATGCTTCATTCACAGTTGGAGTGTCGTGTTACCGCTAGGCAAACGTTGTCATGCAGTTCTCCCACTGAGCGACAACAAAGGGAGACAGCCATTGTTACCACAAAACAAGACTGCTCGAGTGGGCTCTGATGATGCAAGAGGGATAATTAAGATGATGGAGGGTCTCTAGGATGGAGTGTTCCGGAAAGTGTACCTCTTGACCATTCAATTCAAAGAATATTGTGTTCAGAGTTTGTCTTTGAAGAAGACCCGGAAATGTGCAAAATTGCAGTAAAATGGCTGCTTCAAAACAAAACGGCAGACTTCCTGCGTCTTTTCAGGCATAGTTTCTCGAGACTATTTTTGCAGGTCTACTCATAATAGATCTGACTACCAAATTTCATGTTGTTCAGTGAAACTGTCTTCGAGGGCTGGATTTCGAAAATTTGAACAGCCTTGGGAATGGCCAAAATAATTCAAAGTAAAATGAGTGACTTCCTGTGTCTTTTTGGGCACTACTGTATTTTGTGGGACTACTCTTGATCGACTTGATGACCAAATTTCATGTTGGTTAAGTGAAACCAGCTTCTGGGGCTGCATCTGGAAATGGCCATGATAACCCTAAAATGTCGGTTTCAAACCAAAACGGCAAACCTCCTTGCGTCTTTTTGAGCGTAACTTCTTGTCACGCTTTTCTTGGGGTCTGCTCGAGAGGGACATGTCTACCAAATTTAATGTCGCTAAGTAAAACTCAGTTTGGGAGATTGGATTTTCCATCCATTCCTGGGTAAGGAGGCTAAAATGTTTGCGGACTTACTTTTGATACAGATCTATTAAGAGAAGAAAAATAAGGTCTGTGCAGAAATCAAGGCCACTCATTCCAGCCAGCCTTGACGCTGGAAACCGCAACGCTACGGGTTGACAAATCACCTCTGCTCGCCCCCAGAACATAATGAATAAATAACGTTCTCCCCGCATGCAACGAGGCACCGGAGACGCCCGGCCACAAATCCATCAGCCATAGTGCTAACACCTTTATAATATTATGTCTCCCACCCCCCTGCCCCCAATCTCACTCCCAATCCTAAAAATACACTTGATGGACAAAACGGCATGAGGTCAGATTAGAATTGGTGGACACGGCGAGAGATGGTAAAAATGGACTGATTGTGTTTGGCAGGGCCATTTTTATTTTCTTGCCTCCCTGTGTAGGAGGGTTCAAACATGGGACATAACAGACAGATGCGGCCAAGTGGAAGGAAAAATAATCCCATGAAAGGCCATCACTCAAATCTGTCAAAGTAGAGTTTCAAGCCACGGAGAGTTTCAAATGATGGCTTCAAAACCGCATTTGGATTTCAAGTCCTGGCTCGAATTTAATGTTGGGGTTTTAAAGTAGGGTCTCAAGTCTGTGTTAAGAGTTTGAAATGAACGTTTCTAAAAATGAGAAGCCAACATGGGGGCCCAAGGAAAAGAGGAGAGATTAATGGCGATTTAAAAAAAGAACAACATTCATCACGGCAATTTCAGGCGCTACCAAGTTGCAAAAAAGCGTGTGTGTGTGTGTGTGTGTGTGTGTCATTTCCCCTTATTCAATTACAGTTCATTTCACAAGTGCATAACATTAGTGACTTTCGATTACAGCAAAGCCCACGGGCTCGATAAAAATCCGAAGTAAAAGCGTAATACAAAATATGCAATGTGAGGCGCAGGTATTGTTTTTGTCCACAAGAGTCAGCATCTTCTTTCTAGTAAGTACTGTAGCATCTGTGACTTTAAAATTGCAAGTCTGCAACTTTTTATTCTTGTAAAAATGACAGTACAAAACAAGGTGGGTTATATTACACTGGCATCGTCAATGTGTCAGGAATCCAAATAAATAGGAGAAATAAGTGAAAGGAATACAGCGGGTGCGTGTGGACAGTGAAGCTGGTCCATCATTTGCACTTGTAAGTAAGCTGCTTGCGATGATAGTGAATCCACGTTGGCGCCACCACCAGGCCCGATAGGTATCCAAACACGGCGCCCAGGCTGCAGGATATCGGCCAAACCTGAGGAAAAAAAAAACCAGCAATGATAAAGTAGCAAGGAAGGGAGGACATTTAATTTGAGGTGTGACTGAATGAGGGGTGATGTGCTGACCTGCCAAGGCCTGTTCCAGTCTAAAGGTATTGGGAAGGCTCCCATCCACGCGCCCAACACTGTCAAGGCTACTGTGATCTGGAGGCAAGTATCCCAAACAGACATTGCTCTGCGAAGCAAAGGCAAGACATTTTGTTTAGTTTTTTTTTTTTTTAACAAACACATAAGTGCATATATGGTGGGGTCTTTACTGAACTCAATTAACTGTTCCCATTGAAATTAATTAAAACAGCTGGATGTTGTGAAGTTTGCTGCCGCCATCTAGCGGCGGAATGCTTGAAGCTCACTTGGGGTAGGTATTTTTCTGGCCACACAATACCCCAAAAATTAAATTAAATTAAAATATTGGCTAAGCAACGTCTCTTTAACTCAAAAAATCTGTTACCCGTGACGACTAAAGACCCTGATCCAAGCCTGGACGTTTGGTCCGAGCACACAGAGACACCGAAGCGTGGTCAGCGAGGACAACAAGACGGCGAGAGAGAAGGTCTCCAAAGCCGAGCTGTGGAAGGTGACAGATGTGTCACGTAAGAAGAAATTTTAAATCAACCAGTTGTTTTCTTTTGCTACTCACTCGATGAGCGGAGCTCCGTAGAGAACCACCACGATGTGGAAAAACATGCAGGACAGAAAGAAGTACAAACAGGAACGAAACAACCTGGACAGCTGGACAGAGGATGGAACATTATTATAAAATTGTTTTTTCATTGGATGTCAAGCAAACGAAAGCAAGGCTCCCGTTGGTCCAGCAATACATGGGGCGAAATTAGGGCTGCATTCGAGCGATCGGCCCCCAATTAGTTAATTCCAATGAATTACACCATGGCAAGAATATGTATTTAATTCTTGATCCTTTGTGTTTTGACGAAAGCATTCTCCAAGGGATATTCTGACACCCCCCCCCCTAAAAACCCCCAAACCACAAACACTGTGATGTCTCCTTTAATATGCACTCTTGCTGCCCGTGTTTTCGTGAACCTTATATCCCAGCGTGTGCTTCCTGGTCGGCGGCGAGATGCCGAGCAGCCAGAAGATGGCGACGCTAACTGCGGCGACGGCTCCGGACACCGAGTAGATCCACAGCAGGTGGGTGCCGTACACTGAGAAGCCCGGGACGAGCGCCGCGGGGACGACAGTGGCCATGAGCATCGAGGCGGCGATGATGGCGTGGGTGCTCGCCATTGCTCGGATCTCGTGGTCCCACATGGCGCTTGACGACACAAAATTATTTTTAAGATCTTAAAATGGATACCAAAGGAAGGTTAGCAAAGGGGAAACGTCCGTCGATTATTGTGCATCTCTTCCGTAAATATGGAGTTGAGCGTTCTTCCGCAAGCCAATCACAGTTCAGAATTTGGTGACGTTTGACCAATGAACAGACGTCACCAAGACGCATAAGGTTAGGTCCACCGCTGTCTATCTATGTTTGGTCTTCCCATTGTCCAACTGATCTAGTTAAAACTTGATTTCATGTTAAAATAATTTTAGAGTATAATTCTAAAACCGACGAAATAAAAATCCATTGACAACCGATATCAGATGCTTTTGGCGAGTATAAATGGACACAGTTGTCAGCCAATCACATTTCGTAATCCCGTGACATTGACCAATCAAGTGTACCTTGTAGTATTACATACGAACCGGTAATTTAGCAATTAGATCATACCTGCTGAATAGTATCGAAAACAACCATTGAATTAACTCCGAAAGCGATGAAGTACAAGATGCTTTTAAAATAGAATCAACTGCTTTCGTATTTAGAATTAAACGACACAGCTTGCAGCCAATCACGTTTCAAAATATCGCGAGATGTGACCGATCCGATGAGTGATGTCATCCATAACCGGACGTTTACAAACATAGCAGTACCAGCCAGCTAGCTCGTAAAACAGGAGGCATTCTGCGAGCTAGTGTTTTTTTTCCCAATCACTTGAAACAAACACCGCCACAAATAAGAAGGAAATATGGTCTGTGAAAAGTGTAAGTTTGCAGTAAACGACTGCCTGTCTTCAAATGTGAGCGAAATGTTAAGTTTTCCCGAACGACGTACCATTCTCGTAAACTAACAAAGCTAACATGTCTGCTCGCTCAAAACGTCGCCTTTTTACGTACTCAAACCAGAATGTAACTTTATGTCACCTCAGTGCGTGTGACTTGTGTGTATTTGTCTCAGGCGAGAAGAAGCTTGGTAGAGTTATCACTCCGGACACTTGGAAGGACGGAGCACGGAATACGATAGGTAAGGTGAAGGTTACAGATTCACGTAACGTGTCTGGGGATTTTCAATAATCCAATTTTGGAAATCCGAATGTTTGTTTGTTTGATTTTGTTTACAAACTGGAGACACCATGTGAACAAGACTAATTTTGTGTGGAAAAAGTAAACACTGAAGCTGAGTCTACAACATGCCACCCGTCATCCAAATCCTTCATATGTGTCCAACTAAAACAAAAGCATTTAGGAACATTTAGTCAGGCAATAGCCTTGTCTTATAGATAAATTGTTCTGTCACCATCTTGTGGTATCTACAGCCAATTACAATAATCTTTAGGTGGCTGGCGAATACAAGTGCATTATCGCGGATAACAGAGATTCATTGAAATGTGCTGTGAAAAGTTTTCTTTCTTCGTTCCAGAGAGTGGAGGGCGCAAGCGCAATGAAAATAAGCTGCTAACTTCAAAGAAAGCCAGGTGAGCTTGAAGTCACCCATGCTGTATTTTTAAGAACAGAGAGCCACGTAATGGTCGCGGTCACCTGTTCAGGGACTCGCACACAGATTTGTAAGCCACCACAACCCTTTTTCAGGTTCGACCCGTACAACAAGACGGGCTTTGCCACGTGTCGCATCTGCAAGAGCTCCGTCCATCAGTCAGGCTCGCACTACTGCCAAGGCTGTGCTTACAAGAAAGGTTGGTACAATACGACAACAACAAAAACCCGCTGTATACAAAGTGCCTGTTGTACATTAAGCAATTTGTTTTTTCCTTGATATTTGTCATATTAGGACTTTTATTGTCATTTTCCTGACAAACGACGCAACTTTCAGAATGAAAATCCAGGAGCCTTAAATTTCACATAAAATGACATTGTAAATGTCATTTTGTATATGGACAGAAAAGAATCGCGTGTTGAACGTGCACAAAAAGCATTTTACGAAACAACGCGAATAGGGTGTTTCATTTTTAGTGTTTGCGCCTGCCTCACATGGTCCACTCCTTCATCCCCTCAGGAATCTGCGCCATGTGCGGGAAGAAGGTTCTCGACACCACCAACTACAAACAGACGTCGGTGTGACCCTGCTGTATGCCATAATGTTTATCACATGTTGACCACAAGGTCCCCCGAAGCCACACTTTAATTCTATATTCAAACGTAGAGTGCAAGACTGCCCTAATACAGTCATCTATTAATGAGTTTTCAAGTGTAACTCCCGAATTACATTTGGTTGTCGTTGAGCCGTGAAGATTTGTTGTTTCATTTTGTTGCTTTTTATGAATTTGTTGGTGTGTATATATATGATGTGATTTACATTTTGGAGTAAAATCTTCAGTCTTAAAAAAAAAAAATGGCAAACTCAGTTCACTTATTAAAAGAAAAAAAACCCGCACCATTCAATGAGCAAATAAGTGTTTAAATAAATACAAATGGCCAATTTACCCTTTCATGCACCCTGTAACCTGATAAGATGATAAACTGTAGTAACCGCTCTCCCTGAAAGGCTTAAATGAACATTTTTTTTCATCCATTAATTCAAAATGTCATTAACCAATTCAAATGGAAGATTTACTCTCTATCAAGACACCCAAGTGGGACACAATTATGAAGTGGATTGAAAATAATTGAATCAAAACTTTTTTTTTTTTTAAGAAAGAAACGGAAACGTTTGTGATGCAAAATGTGTCTCTAACCGTTTGCCACGTAGAAACTGAAATCTTTGCCCATTCTTCCTTGCAAAAAACGGCTCCAGCTCAGCAGGTTAATGACCTGGAGATTGTTTGTGAAGAGCAGTTTTCAGGTCTTTCCACAGATTATGTCTGGACTTTGACCTTTTTTGGATGTGTTTAGCTTTTAACCTTTCCGCAGTCGTTTTTCCTTGATTCTCAAGTTTTTTTTTTTTACAGTCTCCAACATGATTTCTTCTCAAACGGCTCTGTATCGGGCCCCGTCCATCTTCGGATCAACTCCAGCAATCTTCCCTGTCCCTGCAGAAGAAAAGCAGTACCACACGATGGCAGTACTAACACCAGGTTTGACAGTGGGGCTGCTGTTTTCACAGGGTGATGTGCAGTGTTACGGTGACGCCAAACTGAACAGCTTGCATTTAGCAAAAAAGTTCACTTTTGGTCTCATCTGTCTTTGCGAAATGGCTTTGTTCTTGCCAGGCTTCCGTAAAGATCAGATCTGCTCAGAATTTAAAGGAAAAAAAGTGTAAAATATCGTATGAATTTCGTTCCACTTCATGATTGTTTCGTATTTGGTGTTGAATTTTTCTCACACACACAAAAATCAAATTTTATCTTCGTTTAAAGCCAGAAATGTGGCAACAGGTCAAAAAATTCAAGGGGCGGGGGGAGGGAGGGCAAACACTTTCGCAAGGCACATTTAAATGTGATTTCTCAGTTGCACAAAGAAGGCCGGTGCATTCTGGTCATTTTTGTTTTCTTTTTATTTGGGTAAATGATAATCAAAGTACATGCTACAGATGACAAAAAAGAAAAACTTGTCCACTTTCTTCCTCCTCGCGCAGAAATAACAAATGCTTTACATGACAAGGACATGGATTATTACGAAAGGAATTACAATTCTATAATAATGATTTAGTGAGAAAGGGTTTATAACAGACAGCACCACTTGGCACCAGCGCCAATGAAATTCCCATCTGGGTAGTACAGGAAAAAAAAAAAAAAAAATTCACAAATGACAATGATTACATAGACTTATTTGGATGTGCTTACATAGTTGTATACTTAACAGAAATATAAAATATTTCGGTGGAGAGAAAAAAAAGGCACTTGGAATCACTGTGACCTTACAAATCATCAAAGCTGCGGCATTGAAATTCTTCAATCTGTGGTGTGTGTTTCTTGTACGTTCATGGAACCGCCTTGACGTCCTCTCAGTTCTGGGTGAGTGACAGGAACTCCTCCCGAGTTTTGGGGTCATCTCGGTAGGCCCCCAACATGGAGCTGGTAACCGTGCGGCTGTTCATCTTCTGCACACCGCGCATCACCATGCACATGTGCCTGTGCGCAAAAGGAGGCGGCCATTAAAAGATGGCGTATGTGTATACAGTATACGTATGTCCGTGCAGGCCGACTTACGCCGCCTCAATCACCACGGCGACGCCTCTGGGTTTCAGGGCCTCGGATAACCCGACGGCAATCTGCTTGGTGAGACGCTCTTGAACTGAGGAGGGAAAAAAAAGACAATACAAGCCTAATGTTGACAAATGAACACTGGATCCATGAGGTGACATCACAGGGCACAGCCGTGGGGGGCGGTGGGGTGGCGTCCAAATGTCCACGTAACAGCCGTCCGCTCGCCCTATGTCGAGACTGATGTGCGACGGGTCACCCAATATTTAGAGGGAAGGAGAAGAGCCGCTTTGATCGGCCATGAAGTCGGCTGTGACCACTCTCACAGGGGCATAGCCCTCCCTCTCGCGTATTGGCCAACCTATGCTCATCTGCAAATTTACCAAGACTCCATCTAATCCGCAGTTCTATCGCGCAAGATTTTCATTGTTCATGAAAATAGAGCCCGAATAAAAGGGGCTTGCGGGACATGATGACGGTATGGTATTGCGTCTCACCTTGAAGCCTTCGACTGTAGATCTCCACAATCCTGCAAAGAGAAGAACGTTTTAGCTCACCACAAAGGCATTCGTTTCACTGCCAACGACCTCCCTCGCAAATGCTTGGTCTTCCGTCGTTTCGCTCAGATTGTTATCCTTTTGTGTGATGTGACTTTTTCCCGTTATTCAGTCTGTTTTTTTTCCCAGGCCAGGCTTTCTTTCTGTTCTTCTTGTCATGGAAAATTGAAAATTGATTTTGGTGTGTTTTTGTATTTTCCAGAGTGAATGCACAAGAAGTGGCTCCAGTCTGTCCGCTGAAGAATAGCAAGAGGTGGAGGTGTGAAAAGCAACCGCATGCATTCCCATGAGAAGTGGGCTTTTCATCTTGCCTTATTCGTCCCTTTTTTGCCGTTTGTTCATGCTTTCCTTTTTTTGCCAGATGCTTTTTCAACAACTGGCTAAAGGCAGCCATTTGGATGCCGGAGCCTCCACCCCGGCCAAGCTCCCGGGTACTGGAGCCCGTCCGAATTCGGCTGTGATGACAAGCGCTGGTTCCCACGGGGAACATTCGCAGGGGAGTTTAGAATTGAGAAACTTAAGCCCTGCAGGTCAATGCGGTGAAATAACAGAAGGACGCGCTGGACCGAGACTAACGCGGCAACCGCATAAACCACAATGTGTGTGTTTTAATCACCTCGCCAGCTTGCTCAGCCCCACCACTTTCTTGTTGGGAATGTATCCGATGTGGACCTACGCAAACAAAGACGGGGGGAATCAGCTGACTTACAAAGCGGAACCGAACAAACACACAAGGCAGCGCTTGGCGTTGTCGTCTGAATCCCGAGGGAACTCACTTTGCCAAAAAAGGGCACCAGATGATGCTCACACAAGGAGAACATGTCGATGTCCTTCACGATCACCATCTCGTCGTGGCCCTCGTCGAAGATGGCGTCGTTCAGCACGTCTGGTGAGACATCAAGATAGCGTTACTTCTTTTTTTTTTTTTTTTGTAGTTACAACTCAGTCCAATTGAATCCTAACCCGTACGAATCCTTCAACTCGATGGTGGGCTGGGCATTTTGTACCGATTCCAATGCCATTATTGATCAGATTCCCTATTGATTCTCCTCGCCTGGGAGGGAGGAATTAAATAATCTAAATGATATGAAATTTGGCACCTGGGCCTTCAGTTGCAAGTATCACCACGAGGGATGAGCATTGGTAAGAATTTATCAATTGTAATTGAACAGTTGGGTTGATTGGTCATGCCTGGGGAGTGAGGCACAAAGGTGACGTAGTAGAAAAGCGTCTCGGATGTGGAGAGGAATTGCTCAGGCAAACTCAGTGTAGTTACAACTCAGTCCAATTGAATCCTAACCCGTACGAATCCTTCAACTCGATGGTGGGCTGGGCATTTTGTACCGATTCCAATGCCATTATTGATCAGATTCCCTATTGATTCTCCTCGCCTGGGAGGGAGGAATTAAATAATCTAAATGATATGAAATTTGGCACCTGGGCCTTCAGTTGCAAGTATCACCACGAGGGATGAGCATTGGTAAGAATTTATCAATTGTAATTGAACAGTTGGGTTGATTGGTCATGCCTGGGGAGTGAGGCACAAAGGTGACGTAGTAGAAAAGCGTCTCGGATGTGGAGAGGAATTGCTCAGGCAAACTCAGGTTGACTGGTTAGCGCGTCGACCTCACAGTGTAGATGTGTGGGGTTCGATTTCGGAAATAATGCAATACTATTGGGCTCAAGTGTTCGATAACGCAATACAATTAAATTGCAAGTATTTAAATTTAGTTCCGTTTTAGTTTAATATGCCTGGGCCACAAGGCAATGCTCTTCATCTTACATGGTGAGAAAAGGGCAGAATTATTTCGTTTAAATAGTACGTTAGGATTCGTGTCAAATATTGCATGGTTGATTGTGAGTGGGAAACAGTGGAATATGATGCAAATAGAGAAAGTACACTTTTGTGCATCTTAGATGCGAAATAGTGCATGCACTTTTCTGAAGCTCCACTGTGAAATAGTCCAATGTAGCGAGAACCAATGCAACGTAAAAAATAAAAAAAAAAGTTGCAATACGATTGTTTTTCGATGTGGAATTAATGCAATCGGAACTCATATTGAGACGAAATGTTAAATAATGCGATGGCATCTGATGAATTCGAATGCGAGGGAAGGACGCAAGGTTATAGCTGTTGCATTTGAGAGATGCTCTCAAGGCCAAATGCGTCCTTACCGTCCACGGTCTCGTGGTAGCCCTTGGTGAAGAACTGCATGGCTTTGGCGGCGCGCAGCGGCGTGCGGAGCAGGCCGTGGCGGTCGACGTCCTCGCCGAGCTCCCGCAGGATGCTGGCGTAGGCGGCCTCCATGGAGGGCAGCCGGCACTGGTCCTCCTCCTCCTTGCGGGAGCCCTCTTGGAGGTTGCGGTGGGCCGCTTTCTTGACGCTCAGCTCGGGGAAAGCGTTGCTGCTATGGAACTGCTCCACGGCGACGTCGCTAGCCTTCCCGTTACAGTGGCCGTTCATGATGATGCTGATGCTGCCGCCGATGATGGAGCGTTGCCTCGCCTGTCTGGTGTCGTGCTTCCACGTCCTGCAGGTTCTCGCTTTTAAAGCAGGCAATTCCTCGCGCGCATCATCATCGTCATCATCCAACCCGAACCGCATTGGTCACGTCGCCCGTATTGCTCCCGTCGCCTTCCCCATCACTTTGACACGGGGTGTATGATCGTCATCGATCTGCATCGATTCGTCTTGCCTCCATCTTCCCAGGAGCGCGCGCAAAAGCACAAGACTTCACGCGGAAACGTGGGTATCTATTTTTTTTTCCCATGTAGCACTTTTCATCCAGTCCAAATACAACACAGAGTGCTTTGCACTGACAAAAGAGCAAGAAATTTCACGTCATCACGTTTGGGGGTGAAGCAGCCATTTTAGGCTGGTTCGGCCCATTCTTCAAGCAACAATTTGACCTAAGGATTTTGTCCAATTTCAACCCAATTTAAACCAAGACGCCGATGGGCAACATAACATTTTCTCAACATGTCTATCATGAGCAGACTCACAAAATTGTTTAATGAAACCATCCCCGAAAAGACCCCCGCAACCCCACACACACACACAAATTTTGGATTTTTTGACGCATAACTATTTGATGTTGTTTGTCCTCTTCCAGTGCCTCCCTGCCCAACCTGCCTCGTTCATCGTTTCCCCCACGAACCACTTGATCCTACAATTATCCTTCTTCCCATTCGCTCTTGGATCCACTGCTGCCTTGACCTTTGCTACACCATAACAGTCTGCTTCTTAACAGTAATTATTGTTTGTTTGTTTTTTTTTCTTTCCAGAAAGGAAAACTAACTGCACCAGTAACCGAATCAGCTTGAAAAAGGTTGGTGAGCAGAACATTAATCCCTCTCGTGCGTGATATTGTATTTTTTTCGTTGTTTGTTATGACTAAGCGAAGCCAGTTCGTCTCTCGGGTTTGAAAACCCCCCTTCGGTTTGTTGCGAGCACGGCACTCAAATCAAAGACCAGGGCTTTCCAAAGCTGGAAGGTATTTTCTCAACACAGCCGCGAAGTATGAAGGTTATCAGAAAAACATGCTATTCGAAATCCTTTTTGTCTCGCTGTTTCAAATTTGTTCCTATCAAAATGTTCCCATCGAAATTTTATGTGGCGTCATCCGGTCTTTGCTGGGACCCATCACATGCTTACCAAACTCCGCGCATCACACCAATGACATTTGTCAATGTCCCGCAGAGGATGCATTTGATTGACACGCCGTGTGCCTCATGATATTTTCCGTGGCACTGTTTCCTGGAAAATGATAAAGAATTGATCGCCTTTTTCCACACATTGTTCACACAGAGAAGAACATGTGTCCAGCGCTATCATGAATATGGATTACTCAAGAGGCACCGGACAGACAACAATAGTTGCCACTGTCTCAGTAATGACATTGGCCCTGGAAACATTGGCTACGGCCGCACGGATGATTTTTCACATTTTATTTGATCTCTGCACAGCGCACTCTTATGTTGAGTGGATCGCTCTCAGTTCAAAGTGGGTTTATTTTTGCTGTAGTTTTTTAACAAGGTGAAACTCAGGGGCATGCAATCAAACGCATTTCACTTAGCTGAAAACTATCGTTGACCGGCGTACCCAGAGAAAACCCACGCACGCATTGGGGAGGACATGCATGCAAATTCCACACAGGGAGGCCCGGGTCGGAATCCAACCCCGGAATCCACCGTACCACCCAATTCAGTTGCATATATCTGTAATTCACAGAGGATGATACCTGCAACTAATTTGCGATATCTAAGACGGCTTTTTGACTCGTCATAGTTCCAGTTACAGATGTCCATAACATTATTTCACCTACTAAAACATCTCTGATTGAGGTTAATTACGTTTTCTTGAACTGGAATTATGACTCATGAGATTTGGATTGTCTATTTCAAACTGGCGTTAGTCACAGATATCTCGAACATTCATTTTGACAAGGCAAAATTTAATTGCAGTTATTTGCAACACATCCAGTCAAGCTTCCTATTTTAAATGTGCACAGGTGAAGGCCTTTGCTAACCGTAAGTATATGTGACGTTGTGGTGAGGTTTTTTGAGCGTTGTTAGACAGGAAGATAAAAACATATACAAGTTGGTTCTTAAACAAAATCTCTGCCCGTTAGATGAAATTCAAGGCCAAATGGGAAAAAAAAGATAAACAAACAGCTCTCTGACGACCGTTCGGATGGCATTGAAAAGCGACGTCATTTCCTGTTTGGGCTCACTTGCCGTGGTGGCGGGAGATTGCAGTATGGCTGTTCAGCCAAAACAAAACCTGTCCATGGACAGCGCGTCCGAACACGCCTTCCTCAACTTCTTCTTCTCCATGCCGGAGAAACCGGACACAACTTTCCGTATATTCGACCGCAGCGAGTACTACACGGTTCACGGGAAAGACGCAGCGTTCGCCGCGAAAGAAGTTTTCAAGACGAACGCCGTCATCAAGCACTTGGGCTCCGGTAAGCTAGCGGCGTGTAGCTTAGCATCAGATAGAGACTTGCTAACAGACGAATTCAGCTGCTTTTTTTGGCTTGCTTTCGTCTCTTCGTTCCAAAACGTGTGCTCATGTTTATTTTGGACACGTGTCGGTCGCCAGGGAGTCGTAAGTTGGACAGCGTGGTGTTGAGCAAGCTCAACTTTGAGGCTTTTGTGAAGGACCTGCTACTGGTCAGGCAGTACCGCGTCGAGGTGTACAGGAACCACAGCAAGAACAGCAAGGAGCAAGACTGGAAGATTGAGTTCAAGGTTTGTGTCTACAGTTTAAGCAAACGTGCTATACATTAGGACCTTACATAAAAATAAGGATTTGTGTGTCGAAAAAAAAACCCCTACTAAATTCCAGCTTAATATCCCTCACAGGATAAATAATAGCACTGTCTCGCTACCTCTCACCGTTGCTGTTTAATCCAATACCCGTCATGTCCCCTGACTCTTTGAAACCACTGTATTCAGATTGCTTTTATGTTTGTGGGAAAAGAATGAAGCACATCAATCTAGCCATTTCAGCAGGCTGACATTTTGTTTGTTGAATTGTTGATCTCTCCCGCTTCATTTAGGCCTCTCCAGGAAACCTCACCCAGTTCGAAGAGATTCTGTTTGGCGGCGGAAATGGTGCTGAAGGCTGCACGGGTGTGGTGGCTGTGCGTGCGGCGTCCGGCGTGGTGGCCGTGGGCTACGTGGATGCGACGCAACGCACCATGGGCGTGTGCGAGTTCCCCGACAACGAGGTCTTTTCCAACCTAGAGTCGCTGCTCATACAGGTCGGCCCCAAGGAGTGTCTTCTGTCTCAAGGAGAGGGCAGCAAGCTACGGGAGGTTTGTTTTTTCCTTGAGATTTTTTTTCTTTTCTGTTTACCCTGAAAGTGAGAGAGTTCAAGAGAAAGTGTTCCAATCAAGCCCTGCAAAAATAAATGACAAAATATGACACGGTAGAATTCAAAACAAGTAAAAATTGATAGAATAAAACAAGGGTACCATTCAATAAAAAGATGATACTAAGAAATACAGAAGATAAGCGCCAATACAGTATAGAAAAATAAGATAGAAAACGTGTCTTGCGCTGCAAAACTATATCCGGTCCTACACGAAGCATGCTATGATAGAATAGAAAAAACACGGCAGCACAAAAATGCAATACAAAAAAAATACAATATGATACAATTCAAAATGAATCCAGCACGATGTGATACAAAAATAATATGTGCAGGTGGTGCAGCGCGGGGGCGTGCTGGTGTCGGAGAGGAAGCGAACAGAGTTCGATAGCAAGGACGTGGTCCAGGACCTCAACAGGCTGCTGAGAGCCAAACGGGGAGAGACGGTGGCCAGCAACACCCTCCCGGAGCTCGACAAACAGGTGAGGGCCAGCGGCGGACCAACGCTGGAAAGTGTCCCTCGAGGAGATTTCGCGGTGCAACCTCCAAACGTAAAATCAAGATTGATTTTTTTGAGCACATTTAAAAACAACGCGGTCACCCAATTAATTGGATTAAAATCCACCTGGTAGAGTTTGGAAGCCATTTTCAAATCACCATGGTTTTTGGAGAATCTCAATTATTAATCGCAATCCATCCATGGTCCACTTTATGCTCTCAATGGCCGCTGGCGTGCTGGAGCCTATCCCAGCCGTCTTCGGCCGGTAGGCGGGGTGCACCCTCAACTGGTTGCCGGGCAATCGCAAATCGTGTGAAATTGATTTTTGTATAATAACATGCATGTCGGAATGATTTTTCAGTGGGGTGTTTGAGCCATTGCTGGCCCAATTTGTCAACCGAGGATCAGTTGTTCCGCCCACTTGTTAACGAAGGTTGCGATGTGTTTGAGCGTTTTGTACAAGCGGGAGAGGTGCGGTCTTTTTGACGTGCTGCGATCGGGTTGCTTGCAAAACTTGTCAACAGGGGTGAAGCGCGCTTACGCGTTTGAGAATTTGTCACCGTCGGCCAGCGGTCTATTCCGCTTTTCCCAATAGGCGACGGCAATTTAGCTGAATGAGACCACATTGTTTCGTTGCGTTTTCCCGGGCAGGTGGCCATGTCCTGCTTGGCCGCAGTGGTGCGCTACCTGGAGCTTCTCTCCGACGAGTCCAACTTCAACTCCTTCAGCCTGACCTCACTGGAGCTGGGTCAGTACATGAGGCTGGACAGCGCTGCTGTCAGGGCGCTCAACCTCTTCCAGGTGGGCCCCAACACCCGCTTGCATATTTTGTGGTGTGTTTTTTTTTTTTTTTTTTTTTACACGTTTGCCTCTCGTTCAGGGTGCACCTGATGACACCAGCGGGGCTCACTCATTGGCCGGACTTTTGAACAAGTGTCGCACACCTCAGGGCCAGCGACTGGTCAACCAGTGGATTAAGCAGCCGCTCCTGGACACGACTAAAATCGAGGAGAGGTAATATCATGACGTTTTTTTTCCATCACTGGTGCGAACAAAATAATGCGCAGGGTTGTCTTAGGAGATTTTGCAAATGTGCAGGCTGGACCTGGTGGAGAGTTTGGTGTGCGATTCAGAGCTGAGGCAGACGTGCCAGGAGGACATTTTGCGGCGCTTCCCTGACCTCCAGCGACTGGCCAAGAAGTTCCACCGCCGCAGCGCCACCTTACAGGACTGCTACCGCGTGCACCAGGCCGTCGACCAAATCCCCGCACTCATCACCGCACTGGCTAGATATTCGGGTAGCAAACTCGGTTGATGGCAAAACCTCTCTTTTGGCCTCTTTTTCTTTTTTTTAATCATCTTTAAAAAAAAGAGCCTGAAAGTAAAATAGTGCGATTTTCTTTCAAACAAAAAACTGATTTCCAATTCTAATGTTTTGTTTTCCCCCTGGGGGAAAAAACGAGAGGTGATAAGTCATGAATGTGTCCTGTTGTCATGCACACCGCTCGCTCCTCTACAGCATGTGATTTCGGTGTTTGTTCCCTTAGGCAACCACGAGGTCCTGCTCGAGGCGGTCTTGATCTCCCCGCTCAGGGACCTGCAGGGTGACTTCAGCAAGTACCAGGAGATGATCGAGACCACCCTGGATATGAACCAGGTGCGGCTTTCTCACCCTTGGAGCGTTCTTAAATCAGTTACTCCGAGAGCAAGACGGCACCCTCGTTGGGAGCTGTCGTCAAGAGCTCTGCTGTGTTTTAATTTGTTCAATTTTTTTTGGTAATTTGTTTTGTCATATGGTGTTTTTTTGTCATTGTGGACGGTTTTCAGCGTCTTGCCCCGCGACATTTGTCTTAGGAGAGCGGTCCGTGCTTGATTGGCTGCACTTTCTTGGCAGCATGCGTGCCCCGGCACTGATTTTTTGATTGGGTGGGGATTTTTTTTTTTGTGCCTGTAATGGTCAGCATTTGCCATAGCCCCGTTGAGTTCATCGGAGATTTTGACCCTGTTTACGACCATGTCTGGGTTTCTCATTTTACTTGAGGCGTCATCTCGGGTGGCGGAATGACAACGTACGTAACGTTTATCTGAATAGTGTCTCGCTGAAAGCCTTTATGCTCGCGACGCTGATTTGTTTCAACCCTTTTGCAGATTGAACACCACGAGTTCCTGGTGAAAGCCTCATTCGATCCCGTGTTGAGTGAACTGCGGGAGAAGATGGACGCCATGGAGAAGAGCATGCAGGCCGTGCTCAATGCCGCGGCAAGGGAGCTAGGTGACTACGGCAGGCTCAGATGGCGAGTGCATCCGCAGGTCATAAATAATGCGATTAAAGTGTGGAGCAGCCATGTGCTGTGGCGCCACATAACTTTTACATTCTTGGCCTCGCGGTCAATTGGTCGTTTTGTCCCAAACCGTTGGACAGCGTTCCATGACGTCGAACAAGACGCGGCGTGGCAATGCGTGTTGCCATGGTGGCCCTGGGCGGAAAATAAATGGGTCACGCTTGGCAACCTCCGGGCGACATCATTATCTCGCAATAATATGGATGGAAAATATCTTTGAAGTGTCTGCAATAAATTTCAAACGCTTTGCATGACAGAGTTGACGTTCACATCGAAACCGGTCACGGCATCACAGGTTTGGACGCTGGCAAGACGGTGAAGCTGGAGTCGAGCGGCGTGCTGGGCTTCTACCTGCGTGTCACCTGCAAGGAGGAGAAGAACCTGAGGAACAACAAAACGTTCAGCACACTGGACGTGCAGAAGAACGGCGTGCGCTTCACCAACGGGTTGGTGCCCCCCCGTGTCTCGCGTTACAAAAACAAACGCGGCTTCTGACGTGAACGCAACGCGTCCGTGATGTGACGTGCGCAGGGTTGGAAGCGCATACGTTTTTTTTGACACCTCATGCATTTCTTTGTCAATGTGGTTTCAAACAAAGTCCCGCAGTGAATATCATCCAAAACGGTGACTATTCATTCCTTTCGAGTCACTTTTGAAACTGACTGCACTAAAACCAACAACCACGACTCCAATGACATCTCTCGTTTACGTCGAACGACCACCCGCGGTCCATTGATCTCCTTCACTCTGGGAAATCTTGTTTGACCAACAAGTTTTGAGTTGAATTTGTCGGCTCTGGAGTCTCTCTCCCCACATAAAAAAATAAATTGTCACAGATCAAAAAAATGACGCTGGACGGCATGGTGTTTACAGAAATAAATCTGGCTGTCTCATATCTCCAGCGTAGTGAGGTGGGAGGAGGTAGAAATATTTGGGCCAAATGAGGCAACGCTCCTCAATCTCATTTGATGTCAGATGTCTCCCGTGTGTGTGTGTGTGTGTGTGTTTTTTCATGTCTGTATTTGTGCGTGGGTGCCCGCTTTGCCTGATCTAACCTGCCGTTTGTCCTCAGCAAGCTGAGCGCTCTCAACGAGGACTACGGCCGCAGCAGGGAGGAGTACGAGGAGGCGCAGAATGCCATCGTCAAAGAGATCATCAACATCGCTTCAGGTGCGGAATCCGCGACGTGTGTTTTGACACGCGTCATCCATGTGATAGTTGGCGAGCAGCTTTTTGAACTTGAAAGAGAGTCAACCTTTACATACATCCACCGAAAGCATCGCGGACTTTTCTGACTGTAGATAATTTCCGGTCGTTTATTTTTATTCATGCGACAATGGGGATTTTTAATTTTTATTTGTTTTTTAACTTGAACTAGGCTACGTGGACCCTCTGCAGACCCTTGGAGATGTCGTAGCGCTACTGGACGCAGTGGTCAGCTTTGCCACGGCGTCGGTTACCGCCCCTGTGCCTTACGTACGTCCTCGCCTGCTGCCCGACGGGCCCCGTCGCCTGGAGCTGCGGCAAGCGCGCCACCCCTGCATGGAGACGGACGCCGACACTTGCTTCATACCCAACGACGTCACGTTTGTGCAGGGGGAGAAGAGCTTCTACATTATCACAGGTGAGTGCGTGCCCAAATTGGTGCTCTCGTTTGTTTACATCATTATCCAACCATTTGTCTCCTGTCTAACAACACCCCCCCCCCCCAAAAAAAAAAAAAACATAACCATGAATGTAACTGCGAAGTGGGAGGAGCTTTTTCCATGTGTAACTTGGAGTTCGCCCCAGTCAGGGTTTCCGCCCACAATTTCAAAACATCCTTCTGAGATTCTTCGATGATTTTTTTTTTTTTTTTTTTTTTTTTAAAAAAGGTCTAAAAA